AAACTGGATTAATCGCTGGTTTTATCACTCCAAATTAGGGGAACTAAAACCACACACTTACCTAGCAATTTCAGTGATCCTCATGTGATCAGGAGCCAAGCTCTGAATTTTCTATTTCCAGCTTATTTCCAGGCACCTTCTCCTTTAGTCTAATCACCATCTCCATAACATGCCATGACTTTTAGCAACAACAGACTACAACACATTCCTCAAACATACCATATACTTTCACCTATATCCCCGGTTTGCATTCATGTCTTGTTTCCCTGGCCAAATCAGAAACTCCTCTTCATCTTTCAAAACCAAATTCAAATACGGTGTGTTCTCTCTAATCCTCCTTCTTCCCACATGTAGAATTATTCTGCTTCATCCGTGTTCTCATTAAACTAGCTATCCCCCTGCGATGGCTCTTACCACACTGAAACTGTAGGAATTTACTTATGTATCTGGCTGCAACTATCTTGAAGACAGAGACACATTTTCTTTCCTCCAGCACTTAATGTATTGTCTAAAAACGTGTATTTTTTTTTAAATATTTAAAAACTTATGGGGCTGGCACTGTGGCGTAGTGGGGAAAGCCAATGCCCTGCAGTGCCAGCATCCCATGTGGGTACCAGTTTGAGTCCTGGATGCTCCACTTCTGATCCAGCTCTATGCTATGGCCTGGGAAAGCAGTAGAAGATGGCCCACATCCTTGGGCCCCTGCACCTGCATGGGAGACCAGGAGGCTCCTGGCTTCGGATCGGGCAGCTCCAGCCATTACAGCCTTCTGGGGAGTCAACCGGTGGATGGAGGACCTCTCTTTCTCTCTCTACCTCCGCCTCTCTGTAACTCTGCCTTTCAAATAAATAAATAAATCCTTAAAAAAAAAAAAAAAAACTCTTACTGAAAAATAAGCATCTCTTATGGCACTAAGATAATGCCAAAACTGTAGTCTGTAGTTACAGAGTCACCAAGAGCTTGGAAACAAAAAGAATCCCATGTTATTCACCAGCAGAAAAAAACATGTTCATACGTACAAAGTATAATTAAATCGTAGCTTGTACATGTCTTCATCTATATCTTACAATACCAGTTTCTTTCTTACATTCTTCTTGAAAAAGTTCTTCATAGAACTCTCTTTCAAGTGTCGCATGTCATGTGTATCTCACTGGCACAATTTGAAACTCATTTTGCACAGAGGTTAAGATCAGAGTCCTTGGAGCCTGACTGATCTGAATCTTTCCTCTGCTACCAAGCTGCCAGATCACAGGCAAGTTATTCAACTCTCCATGCTCTCCATGTGATCTTAATAACAACATAGAGGCCGGCGCCGCAGCTCACTAGGCTAATCCTCCGCTTTGCGGCGCCGGCACACGGGGTTCTAGTCCCGGTCGGGGCGCCGGATTTTTCCCGGTTGCCCCTCTTCCAGGCCAGCTCTCTGCTGTGGCCAGGGAGTGCAGTGGAGGATGGCCCAAGTGCTTGGGCCCTACACCCGCATGGGAGACCAGGAGAAACACCTAGCTCCTGCCTTCGGATCAGCGTGGTGCGCTGGCCGCAGTGCGCCAGCCGTGGCGGCCATTGGAGGGTGAACCAACGGCAAAAGGAAGACCTTTCTCTCTGTCTCTCTCTCTCACTATCCACTCTGTCTGTCAAAAAATAAAAAAAAAAATTAATACATGCAGTGCATTTAGAACACTGCGTGGTTCGGAGCAGGCCCTAGTCAATGCTATGATGATCACCAGCTTTTTTAACAAATTTACATGAGATATTCAACACTTTATAATATTTACTTTTCATGTTATCTGAAAGGCAGAGAGAGAGAGAGAGAGAGAGAGAGAAGGAGCAAGCAAAAAAAGAGACATTCCATTCACTAGTTCACTCCCCCAAATGTCCACAAGAACCAAGGCCGAGCCAGGACAAAGCCAGGAGCCCAGAACTCAATCCAGATCTTCTTTGTGGGTGGCAGGGTCCCATGCACTTGAGTCATCTTCTGCTGCCTCCCAGGGTGTGTATTACCAGGAAGCTGGGATTGGAAGCAGAGCTGGGACTCAAACCCAAGCACTTCGATGTGAGATGTAGTCATCACAAACAGTAACTTAACCACTGGCCATACAGTTGCCCCATCATCAGCTTTTAAGATCACTTTTTTTAAATTTATTTTAGTTCACTTGCTACAGTCTAATTGTCCAGATGGATAAAATTATACGTTGCTCATATGTGAATAGAATGTAAGCGCTAAGACTGTGCCTTGGGATACAACAGGTGTTTGATAAATATCGTGACTATAAGGCTTCAGATTTCCATGATCAGCAAGTTACAAATCATAGCATATTTTACATAGAAAATACATGCTTAAAACTGGTGTTTTAAAGAACTTTCAAAACACCTATTTTCCACTGAATTGTAGAAAACATGTTAAAAAAATTTAAGTGTCACATAAGCTATATTCACTTGTAACTTTCCTTCTACTACTCAATTTAATTTGATCTTGATATCTAATGGTCTAAAATTCTTGCTTGCAATATAAGACTCACTATGGACCATTTAAAAGTAATATATGGGGCTGGCACTGTGGCGCAGCGGGTTAACACCCTACCCTGAAGCACCGGCATCCCATATGGGTGCAGGTTCGAGACCCGGCTGCTCCACTTCGGATCCAGCTCTCTGCTATGGCCTGGGATAGCAGTAGAAGATGGCCCACATCCTTGAGCCCCTGCACCCATGTGGGAAACCTGGAGGAGGCTCACGGCTCCTGGCTTCGTATCAGCACAGCTCCAGCCGTTGCAGCCAACTGGGGAGTGAACCATCGGATAGAAGACCTCTCTCTCTCTCTTTCTGTCTCTCCTCTCTCTGTGTAACTCTGAATTTCAAATAAATAAATAAATAAATCTTTAAACAAACAAACAAAAAAGTAATATATAGGGTGGGGCTGTTGCTGTGGTATAACAGGCAAAGCTGCTGCCTGCAGTGCCGGCATCCCATATGGGCGCCGGTTCTAGTACCATCTGCTCCACTTCTGATCCAGCTCTCTACTATGGCCTAGGAAAGCAGTCAAAGATGGCCCAATTCCTTGGGCCCCTGCACCTCCGTGGGAGACCCAGAAGAAGCTCCAGGCTCCTGGCTTCAGATCAGCGCAGCTATGGCCATTGCGGCCAATTGAGGAGTTAACCAGTGGATGGAAGACCTCCCTCTCTCTCTACCTCTGCCTCTCTGTAATTCTGCCTTTCAAATAAATAAACAAATAAATCATTTAAAAAAAAAAGTAATATAGGGTGGGAATTTGAGATGCCAGATGGAAAACTTGCACCCCATATCCTAGTACCCATTTGTTTCCCAGCTCCCAATTCCAGCTTCCTGCTACTGAGGACCCTGGGAAGTGGCAGGTGATGACTCACATAGTTGAGTCCTTGTCACCCAAGATGTGGATTGAGTCCCTGGCTCCTGGCTTTGGTCAGGCCCAGTTCTGGCTATTGTGGCTATTTGGGGTGTGAACCAGTGGATGGAAGCGTTGTCCTATTCTTTTTGCCCTTTGAATCATTTTTTATTAAACATGATTTCCAGCTTTAGAAAACTGCTTAATGTCAATCAAAAAATTAATATTCTTCTTTTATTTCTGTATTTAAAGAATGTATTGGGCTCTCCCCCCGACACATTTGTTAAAAATCAAACCTGAATACAATTACAAGTTTAATATGAAAAAAAAAGAATGTATTGCCAGTTCAACACACATATCTAAGATTAATGAAAAGTCAAGAACACAAAAAGACACAGTTCTTATATTTCCTGGTTTGTGCCTGGGAAACTGCTTCAGAACACATCTACAAGTATGCCCAGCAGAGGCCTGACGGTTACAAACTACTATTCGTGTTCTTATTTACCATGTTACCCCCCCTCCAACCTATCTCACACACACCCACAGAAAAAAAGGCAAATATCCATAATAAATCCTGTACAAAAAATACAGCTATGTGTTTCTACAGTAACTTGGAATGACCTAAATCTTCCTATTAGCAGTCTCTCAGTGTACAAACAAAAACATAAAGTCCTGATTTGAAAGTCAGCTTATTAAACCAGATATCTTACACTTATTTAGGTTGACCGATACCAAACTTGGTGGTAAATGATTCCACAACAATGTATATGAGCTATTCTAGAAAATGTCATCCATCAGTTAAAAACAGACCACAGTTCAAACGACGCTGATTGTGTGAGAAAAGAGCTGAAACAACTTATTTACATAGTAAACAGAAATTCAACACTTTATCTGAAACACTGCAGGTGAATCACCAGCTTCAGGTAAAGGCTTACAGAGCGCCTACTGCCTACTACGCGCCAGCCCGCCCCAGGTACACGGTCCAGTAACAATGCCTGACTAGCCCTGAACGCCGCGGCTCGGCTCTCGACCCGGGGGCGACCCACAGGCACGGGCTTCCCAGCTTTGCAGAACGCAAGCACGGGCCCGGAGGAGTTAATCTGACGAAGCTATCACATCTGGCAAGTGGCTCGCGGCCCAAGCCTCGGACTTGACTCATAATCTACTCATCTTCTGCCACACTAGTTACTCCGATATTCTTAGGTGTTTCCCCGTCAGATCGTTACCATTCGAATCCTCCTTGCCATCTTTCAGCACGGTGCTTGTCAGACTCTGTTAAGATCCGACACAAACAGATCCTAAGAGCCGTGTCGAAGTTCAAGCGCGCCGGCGAAAACGCCGTCCCTCTTCCCGGCTTCCCGGGAGCCTCAAGCCGCTGCGAGGGCCGGGCAGGAAACCCGCGGTCCGGCTCCACCACACCCCCCGCGCGGCCGAGCGCAGCACCACCCCAAGCCCGGCGTCGGCGGCGCGTCCCTGGGGCGCCGGAGGTGCGGAGCCAGCCCGCGCGCGGGCCCGACTCCCTCAGGGCCATCGGACGGCGCTCGGCAGCCCGGCGGCTCGCACCCGACGCCCATCGGCCACGCCAATAGCCCCAAGTGGCCGAAACTGCGGCCTCAGACCCCGCCCCGGGTCGCCTCGGTCCTACCTGCCAGAGGCTCGACGCTGCCTCCGCCGCGGGGCTGCGAGGCTCGCGTCCTCTCCGCCGAGGGGCCACCGTCCCGGCTCCCACTCGCTTCGGCTCCGATCCGCCCACGCAGGTCCGGCCGAAGTTCCCGCCCTGGCCCCACCCCTGCCCGTCGAGGACCACTTCTTATTGGCTCCTGTTCCCACCCGTCACGCTCGGCCCGCCCCGGGCACCGCCCGGGACCGTGGTGAGGGGGAACCTCCGGGTCCGGAGCCCGCGTCCCGGCCAGAACCTTGCCCAGGGCCTTGGTGGCCGCGACTCTGCCACCGTCGAGCGGCCGAAGCCTGGAGCCAAAGCTCCGCCGCCCACCCCGTGCCACCCGTCAAGGCAGGTCAGAGAGCGGCGGACTTGAGCTTTTACGTGGCGGTTGACCGTCCACGGCTACCCACGAAATAAAGCCAGCTTAATCAAGGACTGCAGATGGCACCTCAGTCGAGGAAACTACGGAACTGCGCCTGCCGCCGGGCCCAGCAGCCCTGCCGTCTGCAGTGGAACAGCAGCGCCGTTTCGCTGGGCGGTCCGCAGGAGCAGAAGTTCCTCGGGCCGTAGCACTACGGCTCCAGCGTGGAAACGCAGATGCTGATAACGCTGGGAGCACCCGAGGCTTGACAGGGTGCCCTGGGCACGCACTGCCCGCCGTGGCCGGCCGCGCGCTCCTGCTGAGGTGCGTGCGAGGCGCCCGGTTGCACCAAGGCTGCCCGAGAGGAGCCTGTTTCCCAGGCGTTCGCTCACCGCCCCGCCCACCTCACCGCACCCTCTGCGGCTGATGACCCAGCTCTTCCCACATTTGTTCGCACGGAGGCACCAAAATAGTAAGACTTCCAGAAAGAGAGGTGTTGGGTTACACATCGCACCCGCCTCTCACAGCCAACTTAACCGAAACACAAAAGGTAGCAAGCCGGTGCGAAGCCCGGAACTGCGGACAGACAGATTCACGCCCTAAGAGGGAGGGAGGGGGAGTAATGATAAAATGTAAGTGGAAATCCAAAACGGAAAAGAAACGTGAACATCGTCTGTATAAAATTTTGAGCTCTGATCTTAATGAACTCCTCCCTTCCAAAAAAGAATTCACGTTTGACATATTTAGAAAACTGCCTGGAGAGTCGTCTAAAATGAGACTTGGGGCTAAAACAGTGTCGCTTTGAAATTACTTTTTGAACTTTTCATTGAGGAAGATTGGGCGGCAGCCATGAGGCAGACTGAATTCCAAGTACCAAGTATGAAATCAAATCTCCCATGGATTGTATGCAAATTCATTGATTCTTTACCCCTTGGGCTGCCCTCTCCAACACAAGTTGGAGATTCAAATAATGATAGGCAATGGGCTGTTAAGACTGATAATCGAGTGTTTACTTGAACGATTTGTGTTATTTTGCTGAGAAGAAGGCCAAGGTAAAAATAAAATCAGTTTCTCTAAGGGACAAATACTCAGCGAACAAAACTTCAACTTCAGAAATCAGGAAGAGGATTCTTACCCCAGGACTAGTCCAAACACGATGTCAGGGCCACACCTACGCTTGTGGCTACCTGCACAGATGTGGAAACATGCAGGGATTTGCTTTTCTTTTTTTTTTTTTTCTTTATTTTTTCCACTTGAAATGTAACTTCCCGAGATGTTTCACAAAATTTGCTTTTTTTACATTTGTAGCCTCAAACTCAGTAACTTTGTAATGCAAACAACTTGAGGGTAGGAATGAAATTTTATTCTTTATATCTTTGATACCGGATGCTTTAGATGTTTCAATGATTGTTAAGTTCAATGAAATATCAGCCCAGCCACTAGGTGGCAACACAGTAGTATGTGTAGAAGTATAGTCTGGCTAACTGGAATTTCACCTTGAGTAACAGGCATGTTCTGAAAATTTACATGTATATCTTACTTTGCAAAATCATTTAATAGGTACCACTAGAGTTCACTATAACCTTATTGTCAATTAGATCCTTAGGGGTCAGCACTGTGGATTAAAGTCTCTGCCTGCAGCACCGGCATCCCATATGGGCGCTGGTTCAAGTACTGGCTGCTCCACTTCTGATCCAGCTTCCTGCTAATGTGCCTGGGAAAGCAGCAGAGAATAGCCCAAGTGGTTGGGCCCCTGTACCCACGTGGGAGACCCAGAAGAAGCTTCTGGCTCCTGGTTTGGGATTGGCTAAGCTTCTACAGTTGTGGCCATTTGGGGAGTGAACCAATGGATTGAAGACCTCTCTCTCTCTCTCTGTCTCTACCTCTCTCTGTAACTCTTTCAAATAAATAAAATAAATCTTTACCCAGGATAGGCAGGGCCTGTACTATGCCCCTCATAAGCAGGAAGCATCTATAGACGATATGATTTTATCCCTTCAACATCCCTTAAGATGAAAGGTATGGAGTCTCTGAGAGGGGAATGTTGTAGGCAGGCACATAGGATAAAATTGATCAGGTTTGTGAGCTGGAAGACCACGCCTTCACCACACCCCTGTGTGTACTTGGCCATACCTGTGTGTCCACGGGCCAATCAGACTAATTAACCGTTCTCCTTTGGAAGTGGATTAAAGGCGAGGGACACGGTGGGCCCAGCCTTTTGGCCCTTTTTTGGATTGTTTCCCTTTTGCCCTGGGCCTGCTTTCTGCCCCTGTGCCTTCGGGTGTGTGGCTTTCAGGCCACCTGCCTCATGCTTCCTGGCCTACATGCTCCTCCACGTGGCTGGCTCCTGGTACTTGGTACTTCTCCCACTGAATAAAAAAGTTTAAAAACTTAAAAAAAAAACTTTAAAAAGACTTAGATCCTTTAAGTTGATAATTCTTTTTTTATATAAATAACATTTTTTGAAGATTTATTTATTTATTTGAGAGGCAGAGTTATAGACAGTGAGAGGCGGAGACAGAGAGAGAGGTATTCCATCTGCTGGTTCACTCCCCAAATGGCCACAATAGCCAGAGCTCTGCCAATCTGAAGCCAGGAGCCAGGAGCTTCTTCCGGGTCTCCTAAGTGGGTAGGGGCCCAAGCACTTGGCCCATCTTCTACTGCTTTCCCAGGCCATAGTAGAGAGCTGGATCAGAAGAAAAGCAGCTGGACTCGAACCAGTGCCCATACAGGATATTAGCACTGTAGGTAGAGGCTTTACCTGCTATGCCACAGCACCAGCCCCCAAAAATTCTTTTTTAAGATAAAATTTCCCTGCGTATAACTGACAACTACTGGTTTCCTATAACAGGATATATCTGTTCTGTTTTTGTATGAAAAAACCATTGTTCATTTGTACTTTGTCAAAGCCTTTTAATGGTTTTAATTGCCTTGAGAAAGTGTCATTACATAACTCCCAATAACAAGTCATTTGCTTGTTTTTTCACTCAGCCTTAATAACCATTTTGCCTGAAAGTCACGGCTACCCTGGCATCAGACAAACCTAGGTTTCCACTGCTACTCCATCAGGTGAGTCCTGTTTACCTTGCTAACTTCAGTTTACTCATCCTGCCTCAAATGGAGATAGTGTCTACTTTGTAAAGTTGTGAAAAGTATTAAATGAAATAGTATTAACGGAACATTTAATACAATCCTTGGTTTGTAGTAGAGACTGAATAACTGGTAACTATTATTCAAACTCTACAATGAAAATCTCACCCATATCACTATTTGGTTTCTTTATTCTGTTGATTTAAGCCCCTCAGCAATTAAATTGAGTTCATAACACCAGGTTTCATAGCGATAGGCCATGCGGATTTGGGCTACATTCGTCTTCCGGATATCATTTCCAATGGGGCCTTCCTCAAGGTAATTGTTGCCCAAAAACTTTGCTTTTTCCTAGAAGAGAAAAAGAAACAGAATTATTGTGGCCTATTTTCACCCTGATGTGGACAATATTACATCCTCCACAAAAATTCCTTCCTTTTGTTAGCCACTGGTGAAAGGAAAAACAAAGCCAAACCATGTAGTGCCTCGATGTGCGTAGTCTGCTGAGAAATTGAATGTATTTTATTTCTTTTGCCCAAGAGGCATGGCCAGAGACAGAATAATGCTTTCTTGTAGGAATCAAAAACCGCATATAATGGTGTGTCCCCAGCTAATTTTTCAGATTCAAATTGCCAGACCCTAAACTCAAAAGGGCATGGAGCCAATGTTGTGGCATAGCAGGTTAAGCCACCACTTGTGATGCCAGCATCCCATAGGGGTGCTGATTCAAATCCTGGCTGCTGTACTTCCAATCCAGCTCCCAGCTAATGAGCCTGGGAAAGCAGTGGAAGATGGTGCAAGTGCTTAGGCCTCTGCCACCCACATGGGAGACTTGGATGAAACTCCTGGCTCCTGGCTTCGACTTGTGCCAGTCCCAACTGTTGCTGCCATTTGGGGAGTAAACCAGCAGATGGAAGACATCTCTCCCTTTTGCGCGCTCTCTCTCTCTGTAACTCTTTCAAATAAATAAATAAACTAAAAAAAGCAGCCAGTCCAGGACAGGTCTACCTCATGAGAAATTCCACACTGCAGAACACTGTTCCTCGCCACTTCACACATGTCACAGGTACTCAGCTTGAAGACTTGTGCTGCAATGGCGTATTCTTCCATCAGGGGCTCCTGTAGTTATTTAAATGAGGCAAAAAAGAGGAATGCATTAATAAAAGAAATAATACACATCCTACACAAAAAAGAATAATGAAATACCTTGATTTGACTTTTTAAATTCTGGGTAGGGAAAAAATAGTCCAGCAAAATATCTACTTCTATTGCTCAGGAGCCCATATGTATAGTTACCTTGGTGAAGTGGAACTGCATCGGATCATCGGTAGACAGTGAGATCATTAGTCCTTTCTGGAGAAAATCTAAAAATGGATTTTTGGCATACTCTAGAAATAGGCTGTTGTTACTTAATGGTGACATGGCAATAGGAATCTGGGCTAAGAAAAACAAGTATTGTAACACAGGACTCTGAAAAGGAAGAAGAGAAAAAATATTGAACATTGAAAAAGAGATACAAACTGGATAAATATTAAAATCTCATAGCCTGCCTTAAACTGTAGCTTTCAACAAAACAATCACCTATTCTTCAAAATCCCCGAGTAAAGAAGAATTACAGTTTCTCAATGTAAATACTATTTAGAATAAAGGTATTTGCGACCATCCATTTTCAGAATCAATTTTTGAATCAAATCATCAATTTTTGAATCAAACCAAATTATTTGAGTTGCCTAAAGGTCGATGGCCTGTCTTAGGCAAAACACTTCACCTGAAAACATTTTTTTCTCTCTACAAGAAAGCTCTGACTCTCACAAGAAACATCTTAAAGCACGCTGGAACAAGAAGTCTGGCAAGACCAGCTGAAGGTACGCCAAGCTGCCTCTGAATTACCCCTTGTCAGAATCCTAAACCAAAAGTCAGGAGATCTGTACCAACTCTTCCCTGCCAGCCATGAGCTCGGTAACCTTGAGCAAGTCCCTGTACTTCCGAACGCTCCACAATGGACTGTGCTAAATAATCTGAAACATCCCTTATGCCCCTTGAATTTAATTCTCGAATTGGTAATGACTCTTAACACTTCTGTAGGGGAGAAGAAACATGCTTCAAGCTCGCATTTATCCGTTGATATTAAGGAGAGAGCTTCCAACTCACCTTTTTTAAATTCAGGCCATGAGAGATATTATCTGCTGTCATGAAGGCGGTCATGAGGTGGGTGAGAGCCCCAGCTTCCCCGCAGTGAGGTCGGAACAGAAATGTATTCATGCCTCGTTCCCTAGGGAAGTAGAATTGCAGGTTCTGGGCACAGAACTGACTTACAGGAAACTTTGGTAGAAAAACGAACACTCTGGAAGGGAGCAAGTCATCCAGAGAATTCAAAAGAACTGGTGATCCCAAATAATCATCTTAATTCTTCCTAAAGAAAACTTTTAAAATAAGGACAGTCGGAGATATGGGGGTAAAGAGATCAGAGTTGATTAGCTAAATGGAAACATCTTGAGTGTCAATGGATTTATATCAGCGTCTCAGCATTTCTCCTACCCACACCATAGCAGAGAATTGTTTCCAAAACACCTCATAATATAATATTCTTTACCGAGATATATCAAGAAGGGTCAATATATATGCCATTTTATAAAATATCTTATAGTGATGAGTGTGAATTTGTTTTGTTTCTTTTATCAAAGGGAGGGGTAGTGTAAATTACTTAGCTTTCAACAAAAGGAACTTTGTTAATGAAGGTGACAAAAATGTCCATTCCTGCCCCTGAATAAATAAACTGAAGGAGAAGCTAAGGGAAAAAAATTTCTGATTTGAGTCAATTGGATGCACCCCAAGAATGCACTGTTGCCCTTGACCACCTAGAGTGCCAACGCATGAGTAAAGAGCTGTGTCAAACAGAATCTCCTGTGGCTCCAGTTCTCGTGTACTTACTTTCTCAGGCTGTTGAGCACCATGATGTTTGCATACATGTAGTAGGCATAGTAGGTGTAAGATGGATTCTTCTCTATTGTCCACTCCTGGGGTTTGGGGCTCTTGGAGGAGAACATGTGGCCACTGTGTTTGGACTCATCATCCACACTGTCAAAGCCAGTGATCTGCCAGGAAAAACGAGCCACATGGGCTCAGTCTGTCTGCAGGCTTCCAGCCCTCAGACGAGCTTTTAGCTCCAAAGGCAAGGACCAAATGAAAAGAGAGAAATACAGACTCATTCATGGCTGTGGAATCGCCCATTCATGAGCAGCAGTACCAGGGTCTAAAGAGCTGTGCTTACATGCTTGAGGAAGACACTGAGTTCTGGATGAGCTTGGGGGTTGATGGTCGCCTCAAACACTGGCATGAACACATTCTCCAGCATCTTTCCGAAGTGTGGAAGGAAATTCTTGGATCGAAACACATCACTAGAGGCAAGAATGAGAATTGGGGAGGAAAGGAATATTTATAGGACTGATGGGCCCCAAATGAGGGAAGCATAGGGTCCAATGCCATGTACAGGAAAAGACCTGCTATGTGCATCCTAGGTTCGCTCTCATACACTCTTCTTGGTTACTCATACCCATGGCATGCTGGGCCACACGCTTCATCTCTTCAACAAACCTGCCATGGTAAGAAAACTAAACCATCGCAGATCATTCCAGATAGAGAATGAGGAGTCTGGCAGTTATATCACACAAGTTTCAGTGGTTTATCTGTGTACATGGTGTACAAGATGGTGAGCATGAAATGGTTATCACGAATATCTCTTGTCTGTTGGGGCAATTTAGTACTGAATATATGCAAGCCATTCTTCAAATTTCATTCTCATGTAACTCAATAACTTAGATGTCATTTTTACCCCATTTGAAAGTTGATGAAGCCAAGCATAAAGAGGTGATGTAACTTACTCAAGGTCACATAGCTAATAAGTAGAACCAGCATTCAAGCACAGTGAGTCTGAGTCCAGAATCAGACTCCTAACCGCCGTTCTCTACTGTCTGTTTGCCTTATGGTATTAGATAAGAATTGCTACCCACCTCAGAATGTGACTTCTAAAGTTGAAAGACAGGATGAAAGCCTTGCATTGCCACAGGGCATACAGAGCACAGAGGCAGGTGGCCAGAGAATATATAAACACAGAAGTTAGATTAAAAAAAAAAAAATCAATGATACTGAAGAAACTGAGAGAAGCCATCCCTGAAGGCAATGAGGGATAGCAGATGGTGTGAAAGGGAGTGGACTTCTTTAGCAATGCTATTCGTAAACACTCACTGATGCTGGAGAATTTGGGTGCTTGTAAGTGAGACAACTTGCAGACAGTAGCAAAGGTCCTGACACAGGAAAGCTCCATCCCACTACAGAGGAGTGTGGGAAAGAACAGACCAGACACAGAGAAAAAGACAAGGAGAAAGAAGATAGACACTAAACTGTCACATGATTCTTATTCGAGCTTAGTTTTAAACTTTCTCAGTAATGTATGTGTGATCTTGATAAAGTCCTGAGTTTAAAACAAAACACAACACACTCCTGATTTGAAAACTGAACTGAAATGATGTTCCCAACTCCTGTCTGTGGTCAAGAGTGCTGTACACCGTGGGCATTTGGTGCAGTGGTTAAGGTACCATTTGAGACGCCCACATGCCATATTGGAATGCCTGGTTCGAACCCAGATCCTCTGCTTCTGATCCAGGTTCCAGCCAATATATACCCCGGAAAAATAAGGGAGGATGGCCCAAATGCTTGGGCCCCTGCTACCCACATAGAAGACCCAGATGGAGTTCTGGGCTCCTAACTTCAATCCAGCCCAGCATTGGTGGCCATTTGGGAGGTGAACCATTGGGTAGGAGATCTCTTTTGTCCCTCCTCTTTCTTGTCACTCTGCCTTTCAAAGAAATATATACGTCTTTAAAGAGTGCTGCACCCAGCGTGGGCAAACTGAAGACATGGGACCTGGGACTGATTTGTGCTTTCAGGAAGCTCCTTTTGCTCTAGGAGAGCTGTACATGGTCGTTCATGCGGGGGCAATGAGGTGGATGAGACAAAGACAGGCTTGAGGTTGT